CCTCTTTGGCAGGAGGGGAAGGCTGCTGAAAGCGAGGAAGAGGAGGGCGAGGAAGAGGAGGCGTAACCCCCTCCACGAGGCGTCCCGACCTCACCACCGCAGGATGCGCTGGCTAAAAAAAGAAAAAAAAAACCCCAAAACCAAAAAGGACTTTGCAAAGCACTTTTTCGTCACCTTTGCTCCCAGCATCGGTTAGTACAGAGCGACCCCGCTTTTCAACCCCAGCTGGGAAAAAAAAAATAAAAAAAATCAAGCTTTCAGGCCATTTCCGCGGTAGGTATCCAGCAGCTCTGCGTGGCTTTTGCAGTGTTTCGAGACCCTTTACTTACAGGGAGCGCAAAACGCTGCTTTAATTACTGCCAATTGGTATGTAGGCAGCTCTGCTCGCAACCTCCCTTTGGGCTCCTTTCGCGCAGCCTTGCTTTTCCCGCCGTTCCAGCCGCATCCCGGCTGCATCCCGGCAGAGCCAGCGCTAACGCGTCGCCCCGCGCGTCAAAGCCAACCGCTTCGAACAGCAGCGGCGCGTTAAGCCAAGATTTTAAAAAAAAAAAAAAAAGAACAGAACCGGAGCTATATTCGGGTGTAAACGACGAGTTAATCTCGCCGTGCACCGATGTAATTTGTCCTCGCGGGAGGGTTTCCGTCGGCGCTGAGCCGGCGAGGACGTTGCTGGCGTTCGGCAGCTTTGCCGGTTTGGAGCTCGCCATCAGAAAACCGTTGCTTTTCCCAGGCTATTTTCCTGCTGCGAATAATAAGGGGTTGGGGAGACACGAGCCGGTCTCAGCTGCAGACCGGCAATTTTCGCAGCTGCGGGGAGGTGGGCGCGGTTCTGCTGCTTCTCCCGCACCTCCACGCTGGCCTCTCGATGGCTCTTAAAACACCTCATGCGATTTCGCATGTTGCTTCAATAACAGTAAATAGAAATTAAAGCCCGGTTGGCTTTCCCGGCCCCGTGCGCCGGTTTGGCAGCGTTGGGGCTGGCAGAGGGGAAAAGGGGGCTCTCGCGGGGCTCAAAGGCAGCAACGTGGCCGAGAAGACGCAGGAGGTTGGTACCATGGCATGTTATTTTTTTAGCTGCTTTTAGCGTAGAAAACTGAAGAAAAGGGAAATTGCTCTGTATTAAATAGCCCGAATGCTGCAGAGTCCAGCTTGACCCCGAGTCGCCTCCAGGGCTCCAACCCTCCTCTTCGGGCACCTGCAGACGCCGCGCTCGCTCCGTCCGGGCAGTTTTCAGCTTAGCCCGGTTGCGTTTCTCAACCTACAGATGATTTTTTTCCCCCCTTTTCCTGCCCGTCAGCCCTGTAAATCATCCAGGATATCGGCGGCGGCGGGGAAGGGGGGCGCGGCCCGCCCCGAGACGCAGGATTCGGCCCGGGTCGCTAGTGCCGAGCGAGGTCGCGGGGAGCCCCTCCTGCAGGACGGGACCGCCGTTTCCCTGAGCACCCGGCACCAGCTTCCGCCCTCGACTCCGAAACTGCCCCCCCAATTCAGGGACGAGCTTCTTTTGCCGCAGCGTCGCGGCCAGGAGCCGCCGAAGGAGCGCACGGCCCGCCTTCAAGCGGAGGGACTTTTCCGAACCGCTGGCGCAAAGCCACGGCGGGGTCTGCGAAAAGGGGGAGAGGAAAGGAAAGGAAACGAGGGAGAGGAAAGGAAAAGAGGGAAATTGTTCGCCGAAAGCGCCATCCGAGACAATTTAGGGGAGCAACCTGCCGGCGAAATCTCCGCCGAGCCTTCAGCTTACACGTCCGACCGCTGTGACGGATGGGAACACACGGCACATTCAGCCCCACTTGCCTGTTTTGGCTGAAAGTCAGAACTGCCGCCAGCTTTGATTTCAATCGCGCCCTGGCTCTGGCCGCAGCCCGTTTCGCCGCGTCTACCTGGCCGCGTCGTTCTTACACCGAGTGCTCCTTTCGGCTGCTGGCTCTCCCTGTTCCCGCGCAGCCCCGAGCGGCTTTCGTTGCTCACCAGGACGAACCCTTCCCCTTGGGTTCCTGCAACACGTTTCTGAATTTAATGCATGTAGTTACTGTCCGGTCCCAAATCCAGGAGAATCACAGAATCACAGAATCATTTAGGTTGGATGGGACCTCTGGAGATCATCTAGTCCAACCCCCCTGCTCAAGCAGGGTCCTCTAGAGCATGTTGCCCAGGATCACATCCAGACGGGTTTCGAATATCTCCAGGGAAGAAGACTCCACTACCTCTCTGGGCAACCTGTGCCAGTGCTCTGTCACCCTCACAGGGAAGAAGTTTTTTCTCAGGTTTAGGTGGAACTTCCTGTGTTCCAGTTTCTGCCCATTGCCTCTTGTCCTGTTGCTGGGCACCACGGAGAAG